ACTATGTGAGTGGCTCACTTAGCCTCTAAAAATATTTAGTTTACGTTCTACCGGAAGACTAGCATAGGATGCGAAATGTACCTTACAGGATTTCTAGGAAAGGTACCGGGAATACCAAACTTTTCCTCGACTTTAAGACGCGCTTTTAATGGAGTCTAAATAAGAATTGATATAGCGTCTTTTTCGTGAAAACACATTAATAAATTAAGGGTTGATTCAAGGTAGGGAACGCTGGCTGGCTTTTGTAAACACAGTCATGAATTTCCCAAGGCTCCATAATAGGCAGGAAAAGACAGGAATAGCTGAACTACTATTAGCTTAAAAACAACTTAATGTGTTGTAACACACGTGGCCAGATCAAGACATTATTCACATTTGTCATTTGCACATAAATATTTCTAAAGGAAGTAGACAAAGATAAATACATTCACGTGTGTTTTTCTATGCTACAAAAATGCGAAAAAGAACTTGATGAAGCGTTAAGGTGACGACTGACTTGTAACATTTACTCGTAATGTAACATTCGCGGCGAGCATGTTACATTACACCACAACTGGTGAGGCGTATCGAATGCTCGTTTTGAACTCTCGGCTCGACTGTGCTCGTGTGCGCTCCATTCATTTCATTCAATATGTCGGACGTGGAGGTTGTGTTATCTTTGTTTCATTTAATACGCTACTCTTATTTAAAGAACTCGTGAATGCTCGTTACGACGCCGCTCGACTGACTGACTGACTTGTAATGTAACACTCAAAGGGATTCGCGAAAAAACCGACAACACGATGGAGCGCCCGCGAGCGTGAGCGGCTCACATCGAGCGGCTCCGTTCGCTGTCTTCACTTCTGTAACGCTCGATTTGTAACACGTTACATTACAGGCAAATGTTACTAGTCAGTCGCCACCTTTATGGTTCGTATGTAGCAGTAAACGCAGAAACATATATAGAATATAGTAGATAGTGCACTGCGAATATTTATGTCAAGACATTCAGTACATGAGACTGGGGTAGATTTCGAAACAGCACGTCTATCGCCATTTGTATTGTTTACGAATACTCCAAGATATAAGTGAATTATCATATTTATATGGCTAAGTTAATTATATGCACCTTGAAAGTTATGCATTACGTCTTTCACATTTATTTTCATCATAAAATACGTCTGGAATCAGACAAATACATGCGTTTATGTGAGGCAGCGCTTAATTAATGTTACCTCATATTTATCATTTTACTTATTACATCACTCACAGTTAGCAGTGTATGTCGTATTTTTGTGAACACACGCATGAAGCGAGACTACACTACATTCTGAGGCTTTACGTGTTTTACATTTCTTGTTTATAAAACTTTGAGGCATTTGATTTATTTTGCTGTACTGAAGGAATGTTATAGAACTTGGTTTCGAGATATTACATGTTTCATAACTCTCATTGTTTACAAGTATATATCCTGTAATATGCGGCCAAATGTATGTGGTATACCCGTGGCTGCACCGAAAAATGTAAGTCAACTCGATGAGGACTTGCATACAAAATTCGTGGTACATGTAACAAGAATTTTTTCATCGAAATATCAGGGGAAGTTTTAAAAAATTCCTGAAATATATATAAATAGCTTTAACTATATGTCATTTCCGCCGACATTATATAGTGTGTCCACAAAGTCCCTTCGGGGTTTTGAAAAATTGTGGCGCGCAAAGAAATTGAGCTAGCCACATGCGGTTTGCGGCAGATTACAG